GGATATTAGCAGTACTAAGACCATCTTTATCCATGGTTCTCGAGAAAGTTTCTACAAATATATTAAAAAAATAAGTAATAATATAGTATTGTATAAGTTTTTTAAAATTAAAAAACTCACCATCCAAAGTTTCTTAAACAAGATATTTCAAAAAAAAATTCTCTATTTTTTAGAATTCCATAAATATTTATTAATATTTCTTATACTTAAATATTATATTTTAGTCTTTATAACTCTTGTAAAAACGTCCCAATGGATCGGAGGTGATATAAGGTGGATAAACATCAGAGATTAGGAAGAATGCTTATTAAAAAAACACACAGAATAATTGGTTATTAACCAATAAACTTGCAATTAATAACGTTTATTCTTTATTTTGGTTAATTAAGTAACGTTTATTCTACTCGAGTAATAATTCCGAATTTCAAATCTATAGGTCAAACTAAAGTTGATGTACAAGTTTGTTTGTACTAGCTATATAACCTTTACATACTTTATATACTAATATACCCATATACATACAGTGTTCATCTTTGTGGACTGTATAGTCTGTATTTTTTTATTATGTATGGAAATTTGTAATTAATTAGAACAAGGTTAATTAAATACAGTGTTGCTAGAGTCAGGAATCTCATGACTAATCAGCATGGGACCTAGTATCCACCAATTGGAAAAATTTATAGATTCTCTTTCCTTTTTTTTTTGTCTTTAAAGTTCGTTACAATTTTGACAGGTTCCTAATGACATTTTTGTGTGTTTCCCATATGTTTCAAAATACAAAATTTTGGAATTTAGTTCGTTTTTTTACAACGAGATGATTAACAATGCCTTTTTTACACTTTGTTGTATACATTCTCAAAATCATCATAAGATCAACACCAACAATGTTTAATATCAAGTTGCTTCTACAAAATTTATTCACAAAGCAATCTTTATGCGTGATATTTTTGCAGAACAAATTCTCTAATTATTTCTTAAATATTACCACCATGAGAAAATTCTACATAGTACTTTTTATAATGTAGTAAAACAGAAAGTGTACGTATTAACAAAACAAACATATATTTATGTCGCACATATAGATTGCTTTGTGAATAAATTTTATAGGAGCAAGTTGATATTAAACATTTTAACGTATCAAAAAAAAACGTATCAAGTGAGTAATAGAATAGTACTACTTGGCCAAATTGGCATGTGTCCGCATCAAATTTGGCCAACTATCTAAATTCCAATTTCCAACGTCTCTTTGATCTCTCCTCCCAAGCTAGCATCCATGCTCCTTAATTATTGTTTTACGTAACAAAAGCTGTATAATTATGTTTTAAAATTAAAAAGCTAAATTAAAAGCAAGTCCGAAATATAAAACAAAGATTGTTGGCATCTTTCTCGACCAAAGAAGATGGTAAGAAACTGAGACGGATAACACGGCATGCTTATTTAATTCATGAATGATTTAATAAAATAGCTAGCGTGGAATTATCTAATCATTTTCATTTGATTAGTCGAAGTGGTGTCATGTTTTAAGTTTATTATAAAATCTGGAGAGTGTGCTACTCGATGGCTACACTCACTCTAGAGAATTAGTCGGATGGTAAAAATTCGGATCACCTTATGGTTAAAAAAAACTAGTTAGCTAACTGCTGCGTAAACAAAATAAAAATTAATAGTTTGTTGTATTTTAGTGAAAACCCATTAACAAAATAATACGAAATCTACATTATATATGTATTCATTATAAAATATTCACTTGGTTGAAGATAGGTTTTCAATAGAAAAAGTTTTTAGTTTGAGCTTTTAGTAGAGTGAACAAGGATGCAAGTTTTCACAAAATAATCATGTGTCTCAAGAGAAGTACGGGCCATAAACTCAAAATTTTATTGGTTGACAAAATAATAATAGAGTTTGTACTATACTTACATTTGTTTTTTGAGAGGGGACAAGAAATAAGAAGTTGTCCCGTTACTCTTTGGTTCTACTTCTAATTTTCTTTATTCAAACAAATTATTCTTAAGTGTGGGGATAAGAATAATACGAGTACACGTGCAAATATGCCTTCCATTACCAATTTTTTTTCTTTCTTAATCCAGTTGTACAATATATGTTATGAAATATTTTTACTTCGAGTCTAAATGATATAATACAAGGTTAAGTACACTTGAGAAAGACTAAATTTGTATTTAATTTGATCGCATTAGTGCTTACACCGTATTTGAATTTTGAGATTAACTTAATGACATATAAGCATGGTCGTAAACTTCTCTCCGTTTGTACTAAGGTAACATTCTTAAAATCACACCCACGCATATATAGTCTTTGGCCTTATGCCAAACTTTAAATTTATATTTTATTTGATCTTTCATTATTTATTCAAGAATAAGTGGATATGGCCCATTTTATAGAATACGGATCGAGTTGTTCCATCCAAATTAAGCGACAAGTGGGAACAGCTCACGTCAAGGTCCGAGTCATGTAGCGTATTAATTGTCTATTTCATTCTTAATTTGGACTTTAACAATAATCTCACGTATGTGTATTAAGAGTGTACAATAAAACAAAAAATACTCTATTGGTATCTCAATTATTTTGATTCTTTGATCTGATCTTAGATATTATACTTTCATGCCTCCCCACTTGCTTAGGTATAAAGTATCTCGCTTTTTTTTTTTGTATAATAATTAAATATGAACTCTAGTTAATCGTATATAAAACGACACATAAAGTACTAGAATGGTTAGAATATGTAATAGGAGTTGTATAGTTTTTTAATGCGATTTGATAGGGGGTGGTATGATTTCAATTATGATTTCAAATGATAAAACGTTTTAAGACGGTGAGATTTATTCATTCGCTTTCGTCCTATTAATTTTACATATTTCTCAAATCGTATTGGAAGAATTTCAAAAGTAACATTTTAGAATACATTTTTCAAAAAATAAATTTTGCTTTCTATTCTAAAAGATATTATTTTTTACGTGTTCCTATGGTCGTTTATAAAAATTTGTAAGTTATATAAATTAAGGTCGTAAAATCAGGTTATGAAAAGTTTTAAAAGATTATTATAAAATGTTTCTGAAATTTTATAAAGTGTTCATAAGTCATATATAACAATATAATTTTTTTTTATAAAACGTTTATAAATCAGGTTATGTCATGAAAACATATATCATCGTGTTTGTTTACTAAATACTACCAGCTCGCATCGATTCTTCTATAAAATTATGGAAACGATTTTATTTACCTACTCATCAAATAGATTAGTCACATCACATGACAAGAACCAAATAGAAACTATATTAAAAAAAAAAAAAAAGGTGATGAATGGTGGTCAAAATAAAATAATGGTTAAACAGAAAGGTTTTGGTTTGGTACGATAAAATAAAATAATTGATGTTCGCCACTAAAATTTACATTACAGGAATGAGTAGTCCTCAATATCATCATCATATATCATGTGACTGAATAAACTATTTGGTTCTTTGTATAGTAGCAGGCTACATTTCCTTGTCAGAAATGAGCTGAAAGTCCTTGTGTTATATGGGCCAATAAGTATTGGTTCAATTAGCCCAAATTGATGTAAGGCCATTGGGCCAAGAAGTGATCCAAGGAAACATAATCTCAAATAAC